ACGGATGTCCACGTCAAAAGTTTTGTCCAGGCGCTAATGACGCCACCCTCGTTATTTGATTTCGTCCTTCTTCCGCCCCCCTTATCTTCATTTCCACCTTCTAATTGAATAATTTGCTCAATATGCCATAATATCCTTTCAATCCACGCCTGGATTTGCTCCTGCGACAAGCTCTTCCATGGCCAACAAGGCTCAATTGGATTAAGATCGGGTGAGTTCCCTGGCCAGAGCAGTCGTCTAATCTGATGAAGATCATAGACGCTGCCTTGGATATAGTGAGCATGCGATGGTGCCTTGTCTTCTTGGACTATCGTACCAGGGCAATCCTTCTCACATTCTCTCGCGAATGGGAAGAGTTTAGGAAGAAGGATCTTCGTCTGGTAACGATACCAATAAATCCCTCATTTACCTCCACGCGCAAGTGTTCATTCTTCTTGTTCCATCTCCACTGAGGTTTCCGACCAGAACGGGTCTCCAAAGATAAGCTCCCCAATTTTGTCTCAAGCTCCTACTCGTCCCTTAGAATAGGTTCCAGCTCTTCATTTATCTTCTCGATGTCTCTCTTTGCCTGTTCCTTTTTTTGCTTTGTTTCAGGAAGCCAACAGTGACAGGGACCTTTCTTATCATAGGAGAAACAACCCCAAAACAAAATTTCAGAGTATCCTTTCCGACGCTCGCGAATAGCACTGCGCTCAAAGGGACAGACCTTCTACAATCGACCATTTGTAGGCCTTTAAAGCCTATGAACAGCATGCTATAGTATCCAAGGGAGGGAAATCAGACCCCTACCTATAAGTCCTCGATGTCAACCTATACCCTCCAAGAGAGGCTACGACAGCCCCGCTGAAGCAGAGCTGGGGAAAATGGATATAAATAGAGTTCAAGCCGACGCAGCTCTCCAGCTAGCAGCTATTGGCCTTTTCAATTAGGTGCTATAAGGCTTACTAGCTAGGATATCTACAATATAAGGACTATGATAGGCCTTCTGGGTAGTAGAACAGCTGTAAAGAATAGTAGAGGCAGGTACCACTCCTCAAAAATTGAATAGGGGGTTCCAGGCCTACTGGTAGACCTACGAGCTATAATAAGCAACGCGAAGCTAGGGAAGCCGAAGAGTCTATAAACAGATCCTAGTTGACTTTCCTTGGTAAAGACTTAACAAGAGCCTCTACGTAGTGCTAAGAGCTATCCGGTTGGCTTAGACCAAAGCCTAAAATCTGCCCTATAAAAGGCTACATCTAAATTAAGTAAACTTCAGAAGCTAGAAAGATAGGCTTGGACGAAGAGCTTCCTACCTGCTGAACCTCTCAAGTTGCTACTACTCTCTAGAGGCCCCGGCTAGCTAGTCCTTACAATTTATAACTAGAACGCTTAGGCTCTTGCCGTCAAATGCTTTTTGAATTTAAGAAAAAATCTCAGCGATATCTCTGATACTACTACCTCTGACCAAGACTTTAATTAAGTATAGTGTTACGGGCATTTCCCGTGCCAGTGTTAGGGTTGTATTCCTGTTGCTTAGTGGGGAGTCGGCAAGCCTAGTGATGGGGCTTGCTAGTGGTTAGTGCGCAGCCCCTCCTATAGGGTTTCCCTAAGGGCTGCACCCTGCTTATAGTTTAGTTCCTTATGTAACCACAATAATACTAGAGGATATATAAGCTTAGTTCCTATACCCCATTATAGTTAGTTGCACCTGTAGCTTATATTGTGTAGCGATCATTTCGACAACTAAAGGCTCAGAAAAGCTTTTTAGCGGTTTTCAGCGACTTTCTAGATTCGATTTGAAAGTGTATATAGCAAAGACCATGGATTTTAGCAACGATCGACATATACTAAATCACAACTGAGCTAATTGATCAAGAGAGCTAAGACGGTACAAGCGTATTATACATCTGAAACAAGGATTCGATAAGGGTAACCGTTAGGATGGCGGACATTGAGATAGAGAATAGGCCCCCCTGAATTGGCGATATGCAGCTGGCTATGATTGAGCACCTGAACAACGCGACTTGTCCTATTTTGAAGAAGTACTTCAGTAACTGTAAGAATGAAATTACTACTACTATGGTTATAGGGAGCATCGTCGTATAGGGTTGTAAGGACTATCTTACGAGTAGGCCTATTATAGTCGAAGCCTAGATCCTGCACCTTATAGAAGGTATGATGAAGGCGGAGGCAGTCGGCTATATAGTTCGTTATGATAGATTGCTTGACGAGAAGTATGCGCTATAGGCGTAGGTCTGATTCTTGAGCGAAGCGTTGGGCTACAACTAGAACGGTCAGAAAGGAGCCTAGACGACGGTTTCCAACGTTAATCTGGCATTTACGAGGAATCCTAAGGCACCTGAAATTCTGCTCCCGGGTCAGTAGCAATAATAACGGCGTAAGTAGAGTGACACCCTCTGACGATAGGGTCGCTAGCTACGTTGCTTAACGATATACGCCTAAGCGATAGGTTAAGTAGCGGTTCTACTGCTCTGCCGTACCTAGAGAAGTTTTCCGGCGATAAGGACTCTACCAATCATACCTAGCAGTTCCATACGTAGAAGAATCAGGTTATCGCTCTTTGGATCGTATACCCGGGCGAATTACAAAACGAGTGTTCTAAGATCCTATATACTACTATAATATTGATCGGAATAGCTGTAGACGCAACTATACACAGCATAGAGAGTATAATGGCTCACCTATATGAACCGTACTACAAGACTTAGAATACCCGCATAGATTTTATAGACTATTAGCCAAGCGCTATACTACCTTGGATCTTGCCTAGCTAGCTAAGAGCGAACTAAAGGTCCTAAGAGCAGGAAGGCGATTATACTAGATTCACCAACTTCCTAATGGAATACTCGAATCTTACTGATATAGCCCGCTAGGATAATACTACCTACGTCCGCCGTTTCTGCGAGAAGATGAGTCAAAAGATAAAGGACCTATTCAAAGCCTAGTTCGATACCGTAGAGACCGACGATTGTCAGGGCTAGGTTCATATAGGCCAGAAGCTAACGGCGAATTTAGAGGCCGATAAGTATATATGTAAGATACATGACGATAACACAGCGGGTTCAGGCAATTTAGGTGGCAACAATTATAACAATAGTAGCTTGACCACCGCTACCGGCGATCCTATAGACCTCGACGCCATAAAATTCATAGTGGCGAGACTCGACCTAGCAGAGTATAGCCGTCGCATTACAGAGGGTCTTTACCTTAATCATAGTAATAATGGCCACTATATAGCCCAATGCCGCAAGCGCACTAAAACCAATAACAACGAGAGCGCCAACGGTTATAGCGGTCACAGTGGTCTCCGGGATGGTTCGGCACTAGCCCAGCCGTGTAGCGGCAGTCTAACCTATCAAGGTAGCTACAGCTATAACCTTAGAAGGCTGACACTTCACTACCGTACTGATCGTATAATTATAAGATTGAGTTGCTGCCTAAGCTAGAAGGTATTGAACGCGTGGAATAGTCCATTTTCCGTTAGAACTACGCGTTATAATTAGATAGCTGGACGACAATTTCGCTAAAGGACTCGTTTAACCGTTATAGTCGTTAGCCGTGTCGTCTATTCTGCTAGCTTAGATGCTAAGAGGTGGTATATTTATTTACGTCGACTATCGCAGGATTAACAATATAACGTTGAAGAGCCGTTACCCTATTCCACTAATCTAGAACATACTTGATTCTATCTATAAAGCAATGATCTTCACTAAGCTAGATATTATAGTAGTGTTTAACCGTGTCTACGTCGTGGAAGGCCACGAGTGGTTAACTGCGTTCATCTTTCGTTTTAGCCTATATCAATCGCTGGTCACCCCTTTCGGACTATAGAGCGCACCGGCGACCTTCTAGCAGTTATCGACGATATACTATACGACGTTCTTAACGAGTATACGGATGTTCCTACCAATTTTTCTCACACCGCCTTCTTGGCGAAGACCACATGCCCTGTAAGCCACTATACCTAACCCGCCAAATTGGCTGACTGACACCATAGTCGTATCTAGCCTATTTTGCTGGGCCGGCCCAGTAATAACATCCTGACGACGGTCCTTTGCCCGGCTTCCTTATACTCGTTGCCTCCTTCCAAGCGAATGACCTCCTGGATATGGAACGGTATCCTCTCAGTACAAGCCTGTATCCACGGCTGGTCCAAGTCTTCCCAAGCTTTTCACAGACGTGCTGTACTTCCTTTTTTAACTTGGGGAGCTCCCTTCTTGGTGGCCACCCGCTTCAATCATGGTCAACAAGACTGGATCATATTAAGATCGGGCGAGTTAGGACACCACACAAGCCGGGCGACACAAGCAGTATCGTAGATAGCTGCTTGGGCACGATGTGCATGCGAGGGAGCCAAGTCTTCTTGGACAAGGGAATCAGGGCCACAGCTCTTCGCAAATGGGATGAGCTTTGGTTATCACCACCTCCTTTTGGTAGCGATACCAATCGACACCTGTCCCCTGTCTCCGAGTCAGCTTGCCATGTTTAGTATCCCATTTCCATTTAGGTTGCTTGCCATCACGCCCTCGAAGACCAAGGCGGCGCATCCCTGTTCCAAGCTCCCACTCTTCTCTCAAGTAGGTTCAAGGAGAGCGTTCATCTCTTCGAGGTCCTTTTCAGCTGCCTTCTTCCCTTGTGCTGTTTTAGGATGCCAGACATGATGACATGGTCCTTTTGCCCCATAAGTAAAACATTCCCAAAACTGAAACTCGGCAAATCCTTTCCATCTCTCTCGAATACATGACTTAACGGATTTCTCTTGAGGGGTCCTCCAAACACGGTAGCCGCCTCGACGATGATTGAGAACAACAGCTGTCTCTTCAGACTAAATAACTCGCTTCCAGTCTTCGAGAATCCAGTCCTTATGAAGAAGACAGAACTGAAACCGGTTCTCTCTTCATCTACGCGGTCAAGGCAGGCTTGCGTGTCGGCTTAGTCTTCTTCATTCCAGCTGCCCGCAAAATCCGCCAAGCTGTCATTGGTGAGACACTATTGCCAAGCTGCTCGGAGATAAAAGCACATGACATCTCAGGGCCAAACCGGTCATGCCGCACTTTCTGAAGGACTTCATCTTCATATGCTTTCTGCTTATTTGGACGGTCAGGTCGGGGTGCATCCTGCACATGGATATCCTTGATGACAGGGGCTTGGCTGTTGGATCAAAGCCACGTTCAAGAGCTTTGGAAGCAATGGATTCGACGGTTTTAGGCTTTAAACCAGCGATGGCTTCAATGGTTGCGTTATCGAGCTTCAGAATAAGCCGTTAAGACAAGTGCTTACGCACGTGTGGCAATATCAGGTAGGAAGCTGGAAAAATGGTAAGAAGGAGAGTTGATAATGCCTAACCTACGGGGTAATTTAGGCCTATCTAGGTAATTCTGTCCGGCAAAACTAAAAAAAGCGGTGCGGAAAAAGTTTTTGTAGGAACTTTCGTATAACGGCGTATCTTGATAATAACCTAGTCTACTCTATAGACCGGAAGACCACGTTTTGCATATATGGGAGGTGCTTAAGCGGATGATTGACATAGGCCTCTAAATCTACATTGGTAATTGCGAGCTCTATACCGAGAGAACCAAGTACTTAGAGATCATTATTACACCCGGCGGTATGAAAATAGATACTGGATAAGGTTGGAGCGGTGATATTATGGGAACCACCGAAGACGCGGCGCCAGCTATGCGGTTCCTAGGCTTCGCTAACTTTTATCGAAGGTTCTGTAACGGTCCCAGGAGTATGTTGCAACTAGCTGGTGACGACTCTACGAGTTTGTCTCGAATGGAGAGAGAAGAAGAAAAAGAGTGAAAGACTATGCGAGATACCTGCCGTCTTATACCTCCACATCCTTGGCCTGTGCGCCGATATCGAACAAGATAGAAGTCCACCGAATCTCGAGTCTTTGGCCGAGAGTCTGCCGAGGCCATTACGGCTCAGCCCGCTGCAGGTTCATTATAAATCTCTTAGGGCCAGCTAAACCATTATATAAACTAACGAAGAAGATGGCATTATAGGACTAGACCGATACCTGTCAAACCGCGTTCGAGCAGCTTAAACGCCGCTTTTCAACCGTACTGGCATTAAGGGTCTGGAACTAGGAGAAGCCGACTATAGTAGAGACTGACGCTTCATACTAGTGGGCCGGCGGTACCCTCCTATAATAGGTAGACGATGGTGAACGCACCTAGTAGTATACTTCAGCGCTAAGTGTCACGGCACTGGACCGCCGATCCCTAGGTCACGTGGCACATTGCACTTAGCTTCAGGTTGATCCATCCATAGCTTCCTTTCCTCTTCATAGAGCAACGCAGTTATCTTCCCAGACCTACTATGGTTCCGTGACACTAAGCACTCAGCTCAGGAGTGTAATTGCGATATGTATAACAAAGAGATGTTAGCGATTATCGAGGCACTAAAATAATAGCGCCTGGAATTGGAAAGAGCGGGATGGCAATTCGACATTATCACCGACTATAAGAACCTCTAGACGTTCATAACGACCAAGCAGCTGATACCACGCTATACTCGGTAGTCAGAAATTCCTATCAAGGTTCTACTTCAGAATCGTTTACTATCTAGGATTGGCAAACGCAATGCTAGACGTACTTAGCCGGAAACTGGAAGTAAACCGGCCAGTATTGATGACGACCGCCCATATAACCGCAAGAAGGCACTCATTGATCTATCGCGGTTTAACCCAGAGAGACCTTTCTGCTAGAGGCGACAAGGCTATACCAGCTCGATAGCTCCTGTATATCGACGATTTGTTCGCTGATAAATATAAACGCTGAGCGTTATTATAAATGGTCATTATGATACTCCTGAACCTACCGAAGCCCAAATAGCCGCCAGCGTTGAAAGTCTTGAGAGTACTAATAGCAGAATTCAATCTAGTCGCTAAAAAGGGCTTTTTCTAGTACCGACTACTTATTGATCCAAACCACGCTAATATACATTTGCAGAATATATATTGAGTTTACAACTCGGTGCCCAGCTGCCACCCAGGGAGGAAAAAGATGCTAAACCAATTGAGCCGTATCTTTTTTCAACCTTCCACTATTTCTCGTCATGACGCTCAATTCAGCTGATTCGCAGCCAACATCGCGAGTGGGAGATAGCCAAACCAGGAGCTATCGCCAGAGTATTGCGCTGCCATTTGTACGCTCATTACCACAGGCCGGACCCAGCGCGAGGTCGGGTCACTCTTTCGCGTATCGAAGAAGGCCGTCCAAGGTGCGGTTCAACTCTTTAAAACTCACGAATCTTTCTATTCCAGACCTCGTAGCGGGCAGCCCAATGTACTTATAAGAAGAGAGACGCGGTATATCTTAACTCTCATCAAACGGAATAGGAAGCTTGCTAAAAAGGCACTCCTTAACGTTACAGGGACACCTGTCTCATACTCGACAATTTGCCGCTATCTCCGCCACCACAACATACGCAAATAGAGAGAAATAAAGTGAATTCCATTGATAAACGAAGTAGCAAAGGATAGATATGACTTTACCTACAACCAGCTCGAAAATCTCGAAGAGTTCCTCCAGGGTTATAGCTTAAAGTCTCGCCTTGTTTTGGCTGGATCTAACTATAATAGACCATGTTCTTATATGAGTATTCTTGCCAAAATAGCACCTCAAATCCGACTGCCTGGGTATTCCTTTTCCCTTCTGAGAAGTTCAACCTTCGATTCGTCAACCTCCGAAATCATGTGAAGGTGAATATTACCATTATGGTATAGGGAATGATCTAGAGGAGGGGGGAGAGCGACCTTGTTGTGATGGTTCGCAATAAGACTGCAAAGAACCAAGGATATACGGCTAAATCCTACCAAGATGCTCTTAAAGAGGGCCTTTTTTCACATTACGACGAAACACGGCATTTCCAGCAAGACAATGCGAAAATTCATGTCTGTAAATTTGATGGAGGAATGGCTCTGCTCTCAAGCTATCTCCTGGATCGAATGGCCTACTCAAAGTCTTGATTTAAACCCAATTGAGCATGTCTGGGCCTAGATAAAGCGCTATTTGCGAAGAACCTTCCCAGATCTCTGGCACTTAAGCGAAACCAACTCAATATCGAAAATCCATCTGCGTGTTTGAAGGAGAAATGGGGTGCTATGCCGCAGGCCTATATTGACGGCCTGATTGATAGTATGCCAAGAAGGCTGGCTGCTGTTAAAATGGCTTGAGGGCGGTATATACGGTACTGAAGCTTAAAACCCAGGCTTCTGGCAAATACAATTAGATTCCTCGTCAGATTTGTAGTTCCTGCGATTTCCTTTGTTAAGTGCTGAGGTAAATGGAAGGGTTTGGGGTGCGGGGCAGCTTAGATCCAGAATTTTGGACCCCCACCGTATAGGGTAGGTCGAATGGGAGTGACTTCGGCGTTGTGGCTGTTAGAGTGGCTTGGTCGAGGTTGGAATATAGTGTGCGGACAGGTACGTATGTATATGTGAAGAATTTTCAATACTGTGGGTGCTTGCACCCTAATTTTGGTACCCTGCGCGGCTATGCAGAGGTTACCGCGCAGGTAGAACTGCTATTACTAGATAGAGTTTTCCGAGTTCTTTCTAATGGTACCAACTCCGTCTGTTTTGGCTGGGTTGCGGGCGAGATATAAACTTTCAGTGCAAGCTAAGACTACAAAAATTGGTTCCTCCGGGCTATTGCACTGACATAATATACTGGTAGAATATATCTATAAGCTATTCTGCCGACTGTACCGTATCATACTAGATGAAGTATACCTACTTGATGAATTGGCCGACTATGGTGAGTATACTATCATACTTTACTCCTGTCGCTAGTCTATCGAGAGTAGTAAGTTGATAATAAAGTCCGTTATAACCTAGTTACATGGTCGTTCTATAATTGCCAATGATTGTAAGCGTCCCTACAGTTATATCGCGCTTGCTTACTTCGGTTGTAGAGGTCGTAACTACTATAACGTCCTTAACTCCCTCGCCTTATCCTAGGGAATTGTAGGTTTACCTAAGCTTCGCGATAGTCCAGCGAATCCCGTATATCTTTCGAGTTTAAGTTATAGATTATTTTGATGAGTTCCTCCTGCTCGTCCTTCATTATACACCCAACCATTGTTGGACGCTGCTCCCTGAAGACTGCCTGATTTCTTCCAAGTATATCTGCGTGGCGATCCTTATACGGTTGAGAGCGGTTTTCATCGTAGCAACTGGTCTACGTTTTGGGGTTATAGCTCTATATATCGAGATCTTTCGCGGTTAGGGAAGCGTAGGTCGTCGTAATCTTCTACCGTTAGGAAGGATATCAAAGTGATATATCCTGTTGCTCTAGGGATAGAGCTTCAGTGTCGTATCTCAAGAGATCTGGCTGTCTGCTCAACGCGTCTGCTTGTACGTTTTAAAACCCCTTTTTGTTGTGAGTGACGAAGTTGAAATCGGGTAGAACATCTGGCTATCGGGTCTATCCTCATTTCAGCTTCTTAGTAGTGGTGAGTATTCAGTTTTGTTATAGTGCGTATATACCTGGACTAGGTGTACTATGCCACTAAGGTAGGGTCTCTATTCTTTGAAAGATTCCATGATAGCTATTAGCTCCTTGTTATATAGATAGGGTAGTTGAGCTATTTGTCCTATTAGCATTTTAGAGAAGATTGCAACTAGGTGTACCTTGCTACTTTCGTCACTCTAGCTACTGTAAGTTACCTGCTAACCGTAGAGTCTGATACATCGGTTTCGACACTAAATGGCTTCCTCGGATGTAGCAATACAAGTACTGGTACTACGACGATGGTGTTATAGATCCGCTAGAACGCTTAGTTATATTCTTCCTTGTACTGCAAATCAGTATTTTTCTGTAATAGATTGTACAGGGTTGTGTAGTATTGCCATAGTTCTTAAAACATCCGGTAGAAGTTGGTGAATCCGATGAATCCTCTGACCTCCGTTATATTCCTCGGCCTTAGTAAATCTTGATAGCCTGTATCATCGTTAAGTCTATTTTTATCTCTCCTAGCAAAATCTTAAAGCCTAGGAAAGGCTATCTGCCTAACGTAGAACTCGCATTAGTCCTTATTACCTAAGAGCTTCTACTGGTATAGTGCGTAAAGTACCTGCTTTATGAATCGCTTATATTCTTCGAGTATCTTTGAGAAGATAAGGATATTATTGAGATAATAGACAATAATCTGTCGAGGCATGGTCTAATTATATAATAAGCGACCGCTTAGAGTATTGTTAGCCGTTAGGCAAACCGAATAGTATAACGAGAGGTATCCGTAGAGCCTATAGGGTGCTCTGACCGCTATTTTCCATTTATCCCCTTCCTCGATCCTAATATATATATATGTATACTGTCGGTAGATGGAGACTTGTGAACCACTGTGATCCTGCCAATTAATTCTAAAGTCTGGAATCAAGGGTAACGGGTGCCGATTCTTCGCCGTCTGATCATTCAGCTGTTGATAGTACACGTGTATACGTAGCTTCCAATCCTTTTTAAAATACAATAAACTGGGTAGCTTACTAATGATGTCGAAGGTCGAATATATCTTCGACGAAAATTCTCCTCGAGATAATTTTAAACTCTATATCCTGCTTCTCATTGGTGTAGTTTATCTTAATGACATTCAACTAGGCACTATTCTTAACTTGATCTTGCATCCGAAGGTTTATAAACTGGCAACCCTTCTATATTCTTTGTTTGACCGCCAGGTATCCTCGGTATTCGCACGAAACTTGTCGTTTCCAGCTATATTGAACACCGCAACCCTAGAACCTATTCCTGGAGTTCAAGGATTCTATAATCGTTTATCGAGATAACGGATACTTTCTTATTTGCTTTTCTATTCTAATTGTATTGTCTGCCGCTTCCTCCAGACCGTATTGTAGTATCCTTCCACCTACTCGCTCCCAATGGTAGGCCCATAGGTTATGC